GCGAATCAGTTCAAGACATTTTTGGAAGATCAAGTGGCTAAGGGCTTCCCTTCAATGAAGACTGCAGAGTCTATCATCAAGATTTACCCTAGCGTCATTGATCCCAAAACAAGTCAGCCACTTCGGTCAATGATGTGGCCTACTACTGCTCAAGTAAAGCAGATTCCCGTCCTTCAAAATTATCCAGATGGATCTCTCAAATCCATGGAATACTGGGTGTTTGATGAAACTTCAGCATCTGTTGTCATCAAGCTTAAAGAGGATTGTATCCGATTATATGACAAGAGGGATCTGCTTTAATTTGGTAGGTGGGATATACATCAGCTCTCCATTCATCATATCAAGGTGGCTGAAGACCTTTTTGAGTCTGTCGCAAAGGAGTACACTTCAATGGTTGCTGAGATTATCAAGAAGGAGATGTGGAACAGAGCTATGGGAAAATCTGATGTGCTGGTGGTCGACAAAGACTGAGTCCAAGCTAGCACCAAACCAAGGGGGAGATTGAAGGGTCTAGTTAATGGTTTGGTCTAGGCTTTCATTGTAATAGTTTATTAAATGAGTCTTTAATGTGTTTTTGGGTTGTTTAGCTATTGACGGTCGGTGAGTGAGTTTACGGCCGTAAACACGTTTACGGCCGTAAACCCAGTTTGCGGCCCAGTCGAGTATATATAGTGGATGTGTAGGTCTTTGTCTAGTTGTTGATACCAGAGAGTTTACGGTGTACTGTGTCGAGTTGTACCAGACGTTTTATGCTATAAACGTGTGCAAGCTTGATTTCTTTTCTTCTTCTACTTCTATTGTGATTGTTTGTTGCTTGATCATTGGTAAAGATCCTTTTCAGGACCTTACAGAACGTTCCGAACTTTTTATAGAAAGTATTTCATAAAACCTTCTTTCCCTCTAATAATTATCGAAAAGGGATTTAAAGTGTTCTTTTGAGACGTAATTAATTGATTCCTTACTTCCTTTGTTCCCTGTTCTTCCATAATTTCTCTATCTAGTCTTCAGGATTACCCAAATTGTATATCTTATATACCAAGTTCTTGTACTATCTAACTTAATATTAAACTCTATTCAGATTCCAATTTGTTTTAGTTTCTTCAGACGTGAGTTTAGGTTATCTGATTGCCAAATAGTGGTTATTATGGTCACCCCATTTACCCCACTATCAAATTTCATGACATCCAAGGTTTGAATAATCTCTTCAAATGTTCTTGTTTGTATGATGCTTGAAACCAACTTATATTTTTAAATGTGTACATGGGATTTTTGTATAGATACATTTAACATATGTAAAAATGTGATCAACTCATTCAGTTGGTTAGTATTCATTTCTGATCTTCTTTCATATATGAAATAAGAAAAATCTAATTTACAATGATTAGGTTTTTCTTAAGTAGAATTTACTTGATAATTACTGTCGTTTACTTCCTCTCTATGTTCAAAATTGTAACTTATTTTATCAATTTCGGTCAGTTGATTGATATTTGTGGAATATCGACCAAGATCCATTTATTGAAAAATTTAGGGCTAAGGGTAAAACTGATCGCAATCTTGGTAGTATGTCACTATTTTCTTTTTAAGTTAATTTATTATTCATTTATTTTTAGGCCGAATGAACTCCAGTCGATCATGGATGACAAGAGAAAAGGGATTGAATCCCTACAAAAGGCATTGGGAAAGTTGTGGGCCCCAACCAATGGTGACACTGGTAGAAGTTTCATTTCTCATCTTAGGAAGAGCTCAATGAATGTTGTAGTCTGTCGTTTAATATACCAAGTTACCCTTGAACATTATAAATATGATCGCGATCTTTGTCTTTTAATCTACAAATCAAGAGTTGGTAACACTGGGAGATTGAACATACAAATAAAGTTCAACTGATATAGTAGTCTCTCAGAATCCTAATAAGTGTCAAATTATGAAGAAAAGACATAGAACTTGTTTTTATACATAATGCCCTTGCTCAATAGTGGTTACAGACTCCTTTTTTCATCTCCATTTCAACAATGGTTTTTTCCAATCCAGATTTCAAACAAATAGGTATTTAACATCATATTTGACTTTCATTTTATTAGTTATACAAAATTCTCGAGGTTTTTTAAAATTTTGTGCATTTGATCCGTGGGATGTTTGTTTTACATTCTTTTTATGTAAAGTTCTATTATGCATGCAGTCAGAGCCAGTAAGCATTGCCGACTTGTCAACATCATTTTATAAATATAAAAACTATGGAAACAAGATTAATAAAATAGAGAAATTTTCAAATACCAACCATTACACCAGAAAAAGAAATTAAGATTACTATGTAAAAGGATCAGAGCTTGCATTAATGAGTGGTAAAACCACAACCTTTACTGCAGCTGGTCCCACTGTTGTATTAGTCAAACCATGTATGTCCCTTTTTTCATTTCTTGAATTTGCACCCCATATGCTAGTATAAGCACAATCATGAACTTTTAAATCCGCATATTGTCTTGGTTAATGTAGAATCTGAGCCCTTTGAATTTAATGGACCATATATTTTATATTATTTAGATTCTGAGGTTTCATTTATGTTTGGGTGTTTTTGTGGTAAGCAAATGATTGAAGAGGAGGCTGCAAGGTTGAAATGTGAATGTGTAATAGTATAGATTGACTCAATTTTATTCTATCATAATATATACATGTAAAGTGTTTTTAAAAGTTGGATTCTCATGTAGGTCTAGAACATAAACGACTAAGTATTGGCTTGACATTAAAAGTGGTCTATAATAGATTATATTTAGTATTATGTGAATTGTTGTCTTTAAAACTCTAATTTTTCAATGTACTTTGCTTTATTTACGTTTCTTGAGTATGGAACAACTTAGGATTAAATATTATTTATTTACTCTTTAACTATAATATATATATATATATTAATATTATATATAATATCTATTATATATATCTCTCTGGGCTAGTTAAAATGAACCCCTCATCGATATGAGAATGTGAGAACAATTCTCAGCCAATCATTTTATTTAATATATATTTATCATTAATATTATTATATTGAATATACAATTAATTGTGTAAAGATAAAACTACAAAAATAAAATGAGATTAAAAAGGAAAGTGGTGGTTACCGAGTACTTTTAGGGATAATAGTTAATTTATTAATTTTATATATGTTCCTATTTTAAGAGATTTTTAATGGATACTTAATTGTTTTATTCTAAAAAGTAAAAAAATAGCGAGATTTCAAAATGTTTTTAGTGCAAATTCATATGCTTAATTGAGATTCTTAAGTATGTTTTACTTATTCTATAAAGAATATATTTTATGTAAAAAAAACTATGAACACTACATATTCATCTTAGAATATCAAAAATATTATATTATTTGCAACGTTATTATAAAATGCCAATATCAATAAACAGACAAACAAATTTCAATAAAATTTCATTAGCAATACAACTTTATTAATACAATTTGAACTAAAAATTCAATGTTTTCTTGAATCATGTTTGCAAATTTGACATAATTCATATTAGAATATCATTTTGTTTTTTGGTTCGACGATCTAGTAGTTATTCATCATGAAATATTCAATATAAAAGTTATTCATATGTGAATATAAGCATATATCAATGAGAATGATATCATCTTCCATTTAGAATATATAGAAAATAGGCACAAACAATATTAATGATAAAATATTAAAAATATCATTAAAAAAAACAAATTAATATGCATTTAAGAATATATTTTCTTTCATGATAACTAATATCCATAAAAGAATTATATATAATTTTTAATATATGGCTACTAATAAACTAATATTACCTAAGAATTAGAAAGAAAAGTATGTAGATTCACACATGTGTTAACACTTTTAAAATAAATATTTAACATTCAAAGACAATATCTTAGTGATAATACATACCAAAAATAAATGTAAAAAGGATGTAGTCTCTTTTATTTTATTTTAACGAAATAGAGAAACGAGACTCCAAAAGGCATGGTATCCTTTCTTAAATTTGAGCTAAAATTATGAATAAATTTCTTTTATTTTGATGGAAATAGAGAACATCAATAAATGATAGACTTTCCTTCCATAAAAATATGGCTTGAATTTAAATAAGTTATTAATGGTGGTAACAAATACCTAAAATATTTTTTTAATTATTTTTTTAAAAGATTAATTAAATAAAACGATTGGCTGAGAATTGTTCTCACGTTTTCACTTTATTTTATGTTTTTATTTGAACCTACTTTTATATATATATATATATATATATATATAATATATATATATATATAATATATATATATATATATATATAGGAAGGATCATTTGAGAACCTAAAGTTTCCCGAGAATCCGAGAACTAAAAGTGGAACGTTAGATCAAAACTTTTAATGACCTAGATCAAACATGGCATATTTGTAATTATTAACCATTTCAATGGTAACATTGACTTTTTACAACAAATTACAAGGGTAGTTAAGGGATAAAAATTAACATACATAATAATTAATCAAAATTAATTTTGAAAATACAACTCTCTCTCACTGTCTTTCTCCCTCCCTCATGTTCATCTTCATCCCAGATTTTGAGATGAAATCGCCGAATCTCACCTCTTCATTCCAGATTTTGAGATGAAATCGCCGAATCTCGTCGCATTCTTATTGTCGTCTTCAGTCGCTGGAGTGTATCACCTCCACCTTTGCTCCTCCACACTCCTGTGAATCACCAATTGTGTCATTGCTGTTGATTTTCCCTAATTTTTTTGATTCATTGCTCCTCCACACTCCTGTAAATCACCAATTTTTGATCTCTGACTCATATCCGTTCACATCTCCACCTCATTTAATCTCATCAACGGCGACGAGCGGCGTATTTCAGTGGATTGTGTGGATAATTTTTAGGGAGAAGACCATCATGTATGTAAAAGGAGGAAGAGGTTTAGATATAAAACCACAGGTGCTTGAAAGGAGACCGAAGTTAAAGTCGACAAGCCTTTTGGCCTCACTTTAGGTCCTAAACCTAGTACTGGTAGTGGCATTGTTATCACTGTGCAGCTGAGGATTCCAAACCAAACGAATCCTTTTCAATGACTTTGTGGAAGAATCATCGGCTCGCAAAGCGGAGTCAGCTTCCTCTCCAGCTCCACCGCTAGCGCCGCCGCTATCAACTCTAAGTAATTTCCTCGAATCGGAACTGTCTGGAGTTAGATCGATAGTCTCATCGCCTTCAACAACCATTTCTTCCTCTCTATCATCACTAAACGACTTAAAATCAATAAGTTTATTCACCTGATTTTGTTGTGATTTCATTTGGAGACTTGAAACTGTGTTACGAGAAGCGCGGTCAACGTCAATCATACTCCGGTGAGGACCGGGTGTGATGCTGAAAGTTGATGCCATCTCTGCCGATATCAGCAACTGTGATAACGACGGCAAGTCGTCGACGTTCGGCAACCCAGCCTCCCACTCCGAAACTAGGTCGTTGTCATCTCCACCGCTGACATCGAAGTCGGTAATTCTGACTTCCTCTCCCACAGCAATCAATTAGTAAGCAAATTGAATCGATTTCAACGATTTAAAGGTCCAGGATAACAATTTTTTGGTTAGGGTTCAGAGATTGGATAAATTTTCCAATGGGAAAGATCAGGTCACGTGTGAATGACTGGAAACTGGGGTAGATATTTTAGAGCATTACCTCCCAGATCATAATGAATCCATGACTGTTTGTGACAACCCGAACCTTTTTCAGTTAACGTTAGCCGATTTCTGTTAATAAAATTTGGATTTTATTGAGTTCCATCAAATTTCTTTGGTTTGGAAAATCAGTTAGTTATATAATCAAATTCTATATAAGAGTCGGAAACAAAATCACGCTAAAAAACTGAGTTTTTCCTTTAGTTTTCGGCCTGAGTGATGTTCACGGCCGTAAACTCGTTTACGGCCGTACACCTGTTTACGGCCAGTGCCAAGTGGCCCCCACCACCGACCATACCCCCAGCCTATATATACAGGACCCCCACCTTCATTTGAACTTTCTTGGCCGAAAACTCTCTCATTCTCTCTCTCTCTACCTCTCGACCGTAAACACCAAAACACCCTTTTTCTTCCGAAAATCATCAAGAAGCACCTTTGGAAGTTGTTTTGGAGCAGCTAAAACACGTTTTTCATCGAATCTAACATCATTCTTCTAGAGTTTATGACCGTACACTCTTCATATCTTCAAATCTTCAAAGACCGCAAACTGTTTACGGTCGTACACCATTCAAACCTTCAAATCTTCAAAGGCCGTACACTCGTTTAAGGCCGTAAAATCTTCAATGGGCAGTTCACGGCCAGAAACCCTTCACGGCCGCAAACTCCTTCACACCGTGAATCTTGGCTGCAAACCCGCTTTTCCGATTCAATCGAGTTCCGGTAACATTCATAAACCGAAAGCAAGTGTTTTCCTAACACTATAAATAATGGTTTCGCTAATAAAATACATATATGTATTAATTGTATTAGGATCCCGTTGAGTGCCGCGTACATCAACTCGAGGGTCTTCACTCTCAGTTTTCGCTGTCCAAATATTCACAGGACTAATTGTGAGTTCATACCCCTATGCTTTTATGATTTTAAATGTTTTCAGGGGGAGAGTACAAGCCAAACACAAATGATTTTGTGCATATATACAAAAGGATTTCAAAACATTTAAAACTGATGCAATTGATACAATCTTACAATTTCCACATGTTTATAAAATATTTAGATATTTTATCCCTTTTGTAACGTGCTGAGCATAAAGGACTTTTTCAATCTACAGTCGAAATTGCATAGTTTTCAGATCAATACGTAAAACAAGTACACATCATACATGCAAACTATAATAGGTATTGTTTGGGTTTTTAATACACAGTTTTTCGAATTCATAGTTTTACATAGCAAAACATATAAACTATGACAGATTTAGTTTATGATATACATTACTACAAGAGTACAACATTTAATAATTATTTAAGTATAATTATTACCTTATACAGTATACACACGGGTCAAAATACAGTAGATCAATACAGACTTACATGTAAACTAGTTAATACAGGATTGTGAGACAACACTTCAATTGTACCTTTCGGGGTACAGGTTAAATCCTATCATAGTATAACCAAAGTCTCCTGGTGGGAGAGTTTGAGATTTGTGAATAGATCTATTCGGGATTGACAATCCCACACCTGAACTGCTAGCTATATAGTTAGGCAGGCATGCCTGGGGTGACAAATGTCATTTATCCGACACTTGAAGAACGTCGTAAAGGTCACTAGGTCATATCAAGCATGGTTATACGACTCACAATAGTATAAACTAACCTTATTGTTTACGGGATTTCATTCTTCTTTAGTTTTATTTTATTAATAAAACTAGTTCATAATACAACTGGAGGATTCCAGGGATTTCAACTCATAGTTTCATTTTTAAGTAATGAAACTACTATACATACTAATGGTAATCAGGATTTTTCAAACAGAACATCGTATACATTACTGGAGATAGTCAGGGTTTTCATACAAAGGGTTTTCATTCAAAACAATTTTATACAATACAGTTGGTGGTAACCAGACTTACAAACTAACACATTATACACTACTACAGAACATAGTAATAAACATATATGTTAGAAAATATTAGATTTTCTTGGGAAGCATACAAACGTTTTACAGATTCAATGACAAAGTTTTCAATACAAAAACATGCTTATGAACTCACCAACTTTATGCTGATACTCTTTAAAAACTGCTTGTATTCTCAAGAAATCAGTAGACAGGTACCTCGCACAGACTTTTGAGAAGACGGAGCGTATAGAGTCACGTCTTTACTTTTGCTTATGCTTTTGATGTATAAAAACATGAATCAAACATATGTAAATACCTTTATATATATATATATATATATATTCAATGTAATGGTTGTGTTTACTCTGATTACTATGATATAATTGTTTTGATACTGCATATGACGTCATCCACCTCTGAACGTTTCCGCCGTTCCGGTTTGGGGGTGTGACATTGTTGTTCTTGAAAGGTTCAAGAACATCGGTATCGACACCCCCTGGTGTTGTTGCTTTACTAGGTATACCTATCATCGATCATCATCATCCATCATGCATCATGCATCATGATACTGCTAATGTAGTTCATAAACTAATTAATGGTGGTTTTCTTGAAACAGGTTCTCATAGCATGGGGAGGACACAATGTGTGAAGTTGGTGCACCGTTTGTATCCAGAGGTTGACCCGGTTCTTGACCTGGGTCATGTTGAGCACATGCTCCATAAGTGTCCGGATGTAATCCCCGACCCCAAGGCAATTCAATATGTGAGAAATGACTGTGGTACCCCCTATAAAACTCGACAAAAACTACTACATAAACATATTGGACAACAAGGGTTTGTTGATTGTGGATCATCAGTTAGCTACAGAAAAATGATGTGTCTCATCCATTGACCATTCGAGAGATCAAAAAATCTAATCGATGCTTGAGTATGTATTCACTTCTTTTCCATCTAATCAATTTCATAGTTTCAGCCGTAGTTTTTAGGGTTGATATGTGTCGTATATACAAATAATTAGGAGATGGAACTCTTGTTGTATTTATCACTGTTAATTGGCTTGTTAAAATTTGTATTATTAATCTGCAAGAACTCAAGCAAAAGTGAAAAGGAAACGGAAAGTGTTTGTTGCATTCATAATCATACATGTTAAAGCATATCTATATATATCTTAAAAAGTAACAGATCTTACCTTTTCATTTGTTTAGCATATTATCAAATGTTTAATATATAGTGATTGAAACTATAATTGTTCTTAGGGGTACAAAAGAGAAAAATATCACATCTAGAAAAGCATACCGGTTAGATTATTTCAACTAGCTACACGTTTAAAACCAAAGTAACCAAAGTTTTGGTGGTAAGATTATAAAGATATGATGATATCCTAATGTATAGTTACTACATTTCATACCAATTAATTTTCATTTTCCATTGTAGTAAGGTGACTTTGGCCTCTTTGATTCTTGATACTTTTTAGCCTGTTACTAAGCTTGAATAACTTTTCAGGGACATATAAAATCCTTGCTAATCCAAAAATCTATCACTTTTATCCTTGTGTTCAACCAGTAAGCAATAATTCACAATCTACATATACATTTTCTTAACAACTTGAACATGACTCTAAGTGTGTTGATGTGCACAAAAGCACCCACTAATTTTATATTTATAACCTAACTAACTTAACTAACTAAAATGCACCTAGGCAGTGTACCTAGTCGAATCATAGAATAGTTGGGTAAGTCGGGTGTCGATCACAGGGAACGGTGTTAACTAATTAATCTACTTACTACTAAATTAACCTAATTATTAACAACTTAAAAGGGTTTTATCTGATTTTACAAGATCGGCCGAACTTTACTCAAATTCAATCAATAACTAAAAACACTCTCGTTTAGTTCGAATCCACTTCTTCTTTATGATTAGCTAACAATTATGGATTATAAAGTTGGTTATTATGGTATTAGTAATTTAAGTCTAAATTTACCAATATTAAACTAATTCATGTAAAACTATGTATGGTCACACACAATCAAACACAGAATAAGTTGTAGATTATGAATTTACTATGTAAGATTAGTCAAACACAATTATGGTCATAATTCATGTTCTCTAGCACAGCTAAATTAGTTTACTTCAATTACTATCTAAGATTTTGGTCGATCCTAGCTCTAGCAATTCAATGTCACTAAATCACTAGGTAAACAAGTTCATGCAGTTTAATGGTCACTAAGCTACACAGAACATGAATTCAAGCAACTAAAGAAACAAATATTAACATGCTAGGTAATACAAATCAAACACAAGTAAATTACCAACTAAGCAAATCTATTATCAACAAGCTAAACCATAAGTCAGAAGCTTCATCTAGCTAAACAAGTGTAGCTAGATTCAGCTGCTCATAGCAACAAATAAACAAAAACAATTCATAATAGAAGTCATAATGAATGTACCAAACAAATTAACTTATTATGTACTCTTCTCTCCCAAGGTGATAAAAGCCTTTTCCAGAACTTCTTTTCTCCTCCAAATCGTCTTGTAACATCCCAAAATTCAAGACCAAAAATTTCGTTTTGATTAATTAAAAACCGCTTAATAAATCTTGCTCAATCATTTAATAACATTCTTAATAAACAATTATCACAGTTTTAAATCCCAAAGATCATCTAGTGCGGAAAACATGGTGTGATGCGTTGCGATTGCCCCGAGCTCCTTCCTTGGAAAAACATTAGTACCTGAAACAAATAGCTGAAAACCGTAAGCACGAAGCTTAGTG